ATAAGCCATTAATAAAAAGCGACACTGTCAATTTAAGATGTCTCCCTAATAGCAAAGTATTCTCTGAGCAACAGCTGTTCCTGATCTATTAATGACGGTCACATTGCTTATTAGCGTAAGAGCGTTATCTAACGTCACATGCCTTATTTGGCTCGTTTGATAAATGCATTAAGCGCGGTAGCTGAACGGCTTAGCTAAGGGGTCGCAGGATCGACCACCGGACTCGTTAACCTTTCGCGACCTCACCCCTAGCTTATACGTTAATTTAAACGTATGCGCGTGGCAACTGTAAGTTTTGTATTCTGTGCCTTTGAACGTGGAAAAGGATTAGGAGACAATCATTTAGATATTTTTCCTTTACTGTTTTAGCGATATCCAGACATTTTTTTAAAAGTTGCTTGGTATAATTGAACTGCAACTCTTGGATGGACATCGGACAACGTCACGAAAATTTGGATACAAGACAGATATAACGCGGCAGCCGTTTTACACGTATTAGAATGCACATAGAGATAAATTTTCTTTTTGAAATATGACACACCCTCCATCTTCAGTCCCTCCAGGTCCACGGCTGCTACAAAGCATCAGCAACGTCGGGCCGTAGTTAAAATAAATTGTGTATAAGTTACTAATATATTATTATTATTAAGTATTTTATGAATATTTGTCATAATATGTGCATTGCTTACAAAAGATAGATATAGAGTAAAAGAAGCTAAAAATCGGATTAATTATTCGGACTATAAAGTCAATATCTTATTTATATTGTTTTCAGTGTTTGTTCATACAGTAGAAATAGATTTATAATTATTTCACCACATACCTATCGCGATTCTTGAGACACAGCGAAGTCATAGCAGGGTTTAAATAAAACACTTTACCGGTTTAAAACGCGATATGTATTAGTTAAACTTATTTGCAGCACTATACTAAACATTACTTAAATTTATTTAAGCATCCGAAACGTCGAGCCGTAGTTACAAATGATTTTCAAATTAGTTTAACTAATATATATCGCGTTTTAAACCGTTACCCGCGTAAATTACAGACAATATTTCATAGTACGGTTCTTTCGTTAACCTCTGGGTACGGAACCCAATAAAAGCAACGAAGGTGCTAAAACACAATTAAAAATGGCGTCGTGGATCGTGAGTGTGCCGTAATTCGGGACGTGTCGCCGCGACAGGTGAATACTGACCTCTTACGATACACAGGACACAATTAGCGTACCAATTAAACGGACATCAGCGGCGCCGACGCGGACGGACTTACTCTTCTTTTTGTTACGGATTTTAGACCATTCGCTTTACAAACTTATTGGGTATTGTCACAATTAATGCGTGAACAATAACTGATTCGAGTTTTTAAGTACGCCCGCGTCTCGTAGCACATTACATAAATCTATATTAAAACAATTTCATACTGAGTAATACGGATTTAGACTAATACTTTGAACAGTTTCAGAGCAGGTTCAATATTGTCAGTTTTAATTATAACAAGCAATAAAGGCCATTGCTGTTCGTTATCTATTTGTATAAATATTTCTGTCATTTAAAGAAATTAAGTTCATAAAACTAGTAGTTTTTTAAAGGTCCCGTTATTTTATACGTCTTATTACTTTATATATTTCTGTTTCTTTTTCAAACAAGAAACGCGGATTCATATTTACCTTAAATTTAAAGAAAAGTTTATAGCAGTATATACGTCGCTCCATAGAGTTGCCTCCTTTTCCCTCCTTAGAAATTATTTTTTGTGGTTTAAAGGTTTGAGGAGTTTTGGCGGTAGGATAGATCATACGTACATACCTCTTGTGGTCGAATGCCCTTTCATCCCAAACTAAAGTTTTGTATTTTAATTAATATTCTATTGCTTAAAATCGCAACACTATTGTATTGTTTTTTTTTTTAATAAATATTTTTTATTTGAGAAGACAAGAAATGGACTCGATAGCCGTTTTAATGGAAATTCAATTTTGAGGAACTATTTTAGCCTTTTAAATCGAGATAAAAAATAATAAAAATGTATTTCTGAAAATCAATCTAATGATCATAGTCTTCATAGAAGTTGATATTTATAGTCCACACTGTTAGGCATCTGTGCAGGAAGCATATGTGGCCTGTCAGTTTTAACCAACTGAAAGGAAAAAAGGTCCGACAAAGAGATCTTAGAATGTATTAAAATAGCTCGTGTCGCAATAAATGTTTTTATAAAATAAAAATAACAGACACATATAGTAACGTGACGTCCAGCACCAAAGGTGCAAATAAGGCATCTAGAAATAGCCATAAAATAAAACAAAACTAATTTAAACGAGGTAAAATGCGGTTTTTTTGCTAGAGGAAATATAAACACGATATTATAACGTTAAAGACATCGTTTTCACTTAAAATTATTTCCCGGGATTCAGACCTTGGATCTCTCGTGCTTATGCTATGTAACACGTTTAACCATAAAGCTACAGAGGTGGTCAGACAAGAAGTTTTTAATTAATATCTAATAGCTCCTATTAGATATAAATGTCATCCCTAGTACTAGTATGACATTTCGTAGTCTGCTGAAATGACCCTAGTCCTATTAAACGATTCAGTTGCAGTTACATATCGGCGTTTAAAGGTGAATTACATTGCTAGGGTCCTAATGGCTTACGTGTACTTATTTAATTGACTAATAGAATTCTTGACGCCGATGGTTCATAATGAAATTCCGTTTTCCCTGTAGTACAAGTGGTCGGCAATTTGCGCTACTCAAATTATTTGCTCTCTCCCCGATCGGGCCACGAAATGAGTAGCAGAATTCCTCCCCACAAAACTTACTATGTCTTGCAAAATCAGCAAACAGGAAAGCATAACCTTTAAAAAGATTTTGTTGCAAAATGTTGGTTAAAAGCACCCGAAACTTGGGGCCGTAGTTGGATATTTTGTAAGAGCTATCTTAGAAACCGTGCGAGATAGTTGACAACTTATGCATTTCTGTTACGGCTATAACAAGAAATATGATCAAAACAATAATTTTTGCCAACACCTTATATCATTTAAAAAATTTAAAATTTTGCGTACCTCGTCCTATTCCTACTCATCGCTACTCAGCCCCTTGATTGACTTAGTCTCGCTAATACAACTTTATATAAATATCATGTCGAGAACATTTAAAAACTTATCTCTTAAGCTTCTGAAAGTAGTACTTGGAATTATAATTTGTTACCTCAGCAACATTCCCCACCAACAATTCAATTATACAGCAGATGAAGACGGTTACCATGGCAACGGCATTAATTGCGGCAAAAAGTCAAACTATGTCGCTATGGTAATCTGTATAACGTCTAGTCACTTAAATATAGGAATGTGGTTTCATCAGGCCATGTATGGGCAAGTGTGCATTCCTTAAATTTGTCTGGAGTTAGATGCACCGGCACCCGTAGCGTAAGATGGTACATCGCTGTCATATTTCGAATTCTCGCCTATTATTGCGAATATGACGCATCGTTTGGGTATTCATTTGATATTAATAACTTGCGTATGGGAACCGTTTTTGTCGCGATCGCGTTCGTCTTCTGCAGTTACCATAATCTATAGATGGAATGGAATCGATCGCTTTCGAAGGAAACGAACCACTGAATTTAAAATATACATATACAGAATATTATATAGAGTGTAAGGGACATGGAGTTTAAGATTGGCGTTTTTAAGGGTGACACCTTTTTCGTGTCACTATAAAATATGTTAAAATTATTGTATATTCATAATATTTAAACTAACGAAAATTATTGTTCTCTATTAAATATGCATCTAGAAATTGACGGGCTTTTGGTCCACTAATGTATAGGTGTTACTAATAGTAATGGTTCGTGGGTTCGAATACCACCGAGTCCACAAATATCAATCATAATATTATTTGTCTAAAACATGTTGAACTTCGTCCGGAAAATTTAGATATTCCATGGGTGAAGAGATCTCGATTTCAGTTGATCTATTTCTGAATGTACGAAAGTTTAGAAGTAGTATGGCTGGTGTATAACACCTTGCATCAAGTGTGCTTGTATGTTACCGATAAATTAAACTATCTCGTTTGGAAATCAACACAATGCGTCCCATAGTAAAAAAATCTTACAAAAAGCACCCACGAGGAGTCACAGACTATTTGTGCAGAACCCCGTTTCTTGGAATGTCCATATGTTGTTTTAATTGTGAATCAATTGTCGCGTAATTAAAAAGCAATCGTAATGGCAAATAATAAATTATATGAGAAAGCAATTATTCATGATGATTGCTCATATCTTGACATCATAATTTTCACACCTCGAGAGAGCAATAATTCATATGAAAAATAAGATGTCCAGTTTTTTTGTTTAAGAATTAAACGTAATTAACTAATTATAATGAGTATGTTTAATTTGCGTAACATAATTTACCGGCAACCGCTTTTAATGAAAGAAACATACGCTACCACAGTACACAATATTGTGAAAAATTAAAACTGTCAACCTCTTTACTTTCGTAAAAAATCTTTTTACTAACGATCAAAGCATTTGAAAGCTTGTCGTGATTGATTATTGCTTTTTCTAAAATACTTTTGCAATAAAATACCTAAAATATGTATAGAGAATGATTCCTTTTTAAATGATCGAAAAAAGTCCGCGACGCTGCATATCTATCTTTTAAGATTAACTTGCAAGAACGAAGGGAAGGGACGCAAATTTTGGGCATCTATTTAGATACCGATTAAAATAACGATTCTTGCGGACGACGTCACTGACACAGCTAGTATTAGCTAGTACATATTATGCGTTCTTTTATCCTTTATTTATTAATTCATGTATGTCCATGGTCGAGTAAGAATTAGTAATTATAATTAGTTAATAAAGTTCAAATCGACTAATAAACATCTTTGAGAATACAAATTGCTCAAACAGTCGCTGAATGTGTTCGCACGCATTTCGGCGCAACTGCTTTTTGTCTATGCATTCTCGTTTTTGCGATTCTCAACGTTTTATTTCATTGCAGGAACACGCCCGACGCGGCTAGGCAGAGCCAAGGTGGGTCGTAAATAGATATAAGTATACGTGGCTTTAATTCGATGACAAGCAAGTGATCAGCCTTACCGGCTTCTATATTATCATTTTGGATTTATATCAATACATTTTGTTGACTAGAGATTTCGTGAAAGAGCTGAAGAAGATCTTAATTGAGACTGCTAGAGACAGCGTTGCCAAATAACAAAACGGGAAAAGAAACTTGTACTATAATTTGTGTAAGAATTATGTTAACAATTTTTGGAAACTGTGCTCTTGTTAACATTGAGTATGAAAATATACATAACTCTAGTCATAAAATTGGAGTTAGGCTACTCTGTCTCTAGCAGCCTCATATTTAGTCAAATATTAATTGTCGTGTACTTAATAAATGTAAGAGTAGCAAGCAGCTATTAAGGTCTTCAAGCTGAAATGACATCGAAGCGACAGGTCTTGTATTAGAATCCCAAATAATACATTTACATTTTTTTGCAGCGAATGTTGGGGACAACGACATTGGATCTCCAGTGAAGAGAAGCCGGTCTAGCAGCCTCAGCGAACCGGCAAAACAAACTGCCCGCAAGCGGACATCGTCTGGTATCTTCCAAGTATGTTTTCCTACCCTCACTTATATAATCTTTACGGTGAGCCTAGACTAATCAAACGTTTAAACTGCAGATTTCATACGGAAAGATTCCACCATAACAGGTATCAGACTAATTATCGATTTATCTAAATTGGTTTAGGGAGACCCGAATTGCAGAGATTATGTCAAAAATATTAAAAACAGAATAAAGTCTAAGTATATGTTGATTATTTAGTAGGTATCTTAGGGCCTTGAGTTTCTGATTGATTGCAAACTTGGGTTAAATAGTGAGGTAGATAGAAAACGTTAATTTATTAGTGCAAGGTATATAATCCCCTCTCTATTATCTTTTTGTCCCTCTTCCTTATGTTCTCTCACTCTGTGTAAGTTTTTCAAATAACAATTTTGTAATTTACACTTTAAACAGGTGCAAGATTCCGAACCACCACCAAAAAGAGCAGAACTCACAGATGCAGAGACGGAAATTGTAAAACCTCGCGAAATACATCCTCGCACCAACGGAAGGCGGAAAGCATCTGAGAGTGAGAAAGAAAAAAGGAAAGAAACGAAAAAGGCAGATATAGCGAACACGGAAAGAAGAAAAGAGAAAGTGATAGAAACATTCGATGAAAAATCGGCGACGCAATGCGTGACGGCTTTTAAGGAAAGCGATAGTTGGGATTAAGGAATAAATGAATGTCAATAGTTTTTTTTTTCTTTTTGGCCTTACCACAGACGAAAGAAGCGTATGCAGATGTCAGATGTCTTCTTACCTCCTGTTACACACATATATATTATATAGGTAAGAAGACTCTACGTGCTTTTAGCAATGTATGGTTAATATTCAAAGGGTCGATTCCTACCGGATCCAATGTTTCTAATTTTTCTGAATCATCTTTCATGTTGGACTTTGTTTGGAAATTTAGATATTAAATGCGTTGTAGTAATATAGAAATTCCGTCTGGGTCACGAACCACCGTTCACGGATGAAAAAGGCGTGAAGCTTAATCGCGTTTCGGTTTCAGTCTGTGGATTTCCGAATATCCAAAGCCAAATGTAGGTTGACAGCCGTCTTGTTTATATGCTACACTATATTAAAAAAAGGGACGAAGAAAATTGAAGTAAATGGCTATGGAGCTCTGAAATATGTCAGTTCACCAATGCGTTGAGTTGAATAGCCCGAATGTTGGCATTGGTTAAAAAAAAATCAAATGAAGTCCTAACTAATACTGATATGAGTGTTTTAATATAGTACCTTTTCATTATGAGTAATTGTCATAATGTAATAACCCAAGCCAAAAATAGTAATAAAAATGTAATTGGAGCTAAGAAGAGCCGTAAGACAAATTAATGTAGCTTACCAAACGCTCACAGGTAGGGTTGATGCTGTGGAACTATGAGAAGCGATGTTTTAACTATATGAGCTATTTTTAATTTCGCACTGTCGCTCGTTCTGTCTCGCCTGTCTCAATCACTCAATGCGTTCCTGGACAGCAATCCTGATGTCGATTTATTTTTTGACAATTAATGTAATTACGGCTTTTTTAGGCCGTTTTAGTTGTAGTAAATAAATTTGTTTTCTGCAATATTTCTGGATTTTTCAACATCTACCAAAAAATCTGTTTTATTTGATCATGCCGTCTGGTCATGATGGCGAATCGTTTAGAAGCTCTTATCGCTCACGTCGGCCGAACAGCCCGAAAAACAATGATATGCTGAACGATGGCCGTGAAAGCCTTACACAATTTATTAATTTCTTTCATTACAATTCGTACAGTATTTTTTCCTTACAAATGCAGAAGTCACCTGTAAACAATTGAATTACGACATTAGGTTTTGTGGAAAATTCCGCTAACATTTGCTGCCATTGAAAAACATCACTTTGTGCGCAAAGAAATAACGTGTGAATTTGTTGTGTGCTGTTGTTGTTGTTGTGTGAATGTTGACGATAATAGTGTTTCGTTTGAATTGTTCGTAAGATAGTTTTTCACGCAAAGCAATTAATTCCTATTGCGATCAATATTTATTTATACGCTACAATGTAAGGAAAAGAAATTCGAAAGGGTCGGACGGACGTTTGCCCATCTTATATCAAAAAAGGCCATAATTATCTTTATTAATTGATACAACATAACAAAGGTTTTTTGTTAGCACTCACTAATTGTTTGTTTACTAAATTGTTGGAATAGGTCAGGCTAATTTTAATTAAGAAGAGAGAAGTAAATTCAAATTGTGTAGCCTTAGACAAATTCATTAGCGACGCATGAAATTAACATAAATTATCAGGTTGCTTTTTGTGGACCTTCTTGTACCAAATGCTTTTTAAGTAGTTTATTTGTGCGATTGTGGTAATTAAGACCTAATTATTCCTCCTAATGGTTAACATTAAGTTAACCTATAAAGAGTTTTAGCACAAATAACGCATGCTATCGTAGACCAACATTTCTTACATAGCAATGTACCACTTCTTACTCGCCCAGAGTTTTAAAAGTAGCCCTACTACCTAAATAGAATGCCCAGCTGCTTCTCGTAGGGGCGCTACGGCGTTCCAAGACCACCACAAAAATTTAAAGGTCGAGCTCGATGAGCGTCCTTCGGAACTATTTCCCAGAAAAATCCTGCATTGGATTATTCTTACACAAATTGGTTCTTTAGGCGACTGTGAAATACCTGTAATAAAAATTAAGATGATTATAAAAAGATGATCTAGTCGTATTCATATCCCACGATGGTTTATTTGTTGTCACCTGCATTTGGGATTTCCAAGGGCATTGCAGATAAAAGGCACATGCCGCTAGGAAACCCCAGCTATACGGCGACTGTAAAGTAGCCCTGACTGTAATACAATAAATAATACGTGTACTTCCTGCGCTGACGCAGCAAATACATACATACATATCTAATATAAAATGGGCAGTGTATGGCTATACAACGCACTAGATTATACACAAAAATTACAATAATGCTGAGTTTTTTTAACGTAAAGTTTTCGTTAACTAAGCGTTAAATTTACCACATTTATCGAAGAAATATATTTCAATATGTCTTTATCGCATTTCCAGTCATATTATTGTATTTTCACCACCACATGTGGTGTGGCTAAAAATGGGCACGAGACAATACTACAACTTTGACCCAAAGTCGACAGAGAAGGCTGTATTGATGGTATCTTTCAAAATATGAGTGACAGAAACACTTACTCACAAATACTCGGGATGTTTTCATCTTACTTGACATTGTTATTTGAATTTTATCTACTAATAGTTTAAAATATGTATTTTTAAGTAATTTACATTATTAACTTGCTGTCACTATTTAACTACACATTTTTTCAGTAATTTTAGACATTTACAATTATTTTAAAATGTCAAAATTTAATAACGTCTCAAAAATAACTGTCATTGTCATAATTCTATTAACATTATCTGTGAAAAGATAGTGCTCTGGTACACGATCGATATACATTGAATGGTCTGTGTAAATCAATAATCGATACATTTACATAGAATTGAAAGACATCTTGTTTTCATTGTGACTATATCGAATATGTATTCCAGAATGAAATAACGGCCTAAACAAAATAAGCTACGTACGTACGAAAAAATCATCGTCGTTGTGTTTTTGCAACGGGATCTTAAAAAATACAACCATAATAATGGGAATTTTAAGTAACTTTTTTAACTTTATGAGTTTTAAACTTTTTTCAAGATTTCTTGAAAGTGTATAATAATCACATCACTATATCGAAAGGCTGGATGAACATGACTTCTTTGTTTACCTTATCTACAAATTAGCAGGCCATTAAAAATATAAAAAAAAAATTAAAAGTAACAAATTCATATACTAGATGGCACCACGAATGTTGCAGTCGTCGTCTTAGCTTGGGACTTAGCAGGCCAGTAAGAATTTAAACACACTAGACCAGTAAGACCCAGGCCACGACGAGACAAAACGCTAAAAACAATTATATAAAATATTTCACCTAAAAAGACAACTTTGAATACTCCAATATTTATACTAAGTCTTATTATAGAGGACTACTGTGGACTTTCTTCCCTCGACATATATGTAATATAAAAACAAAGTCAAGTCAAGACTAAAATATTATTATATTGACTATAAAAACTTTTAATGTTAACGCTTCACTAAACTCCATTATCAAATACAGGGTAGATACAGGTAAATATTAAAAATAAAGTTATTAAATACACAATAAGGTAAACTTTTTATAGATATAATAATGTGCCAACCGAGTCCGTTTATCTAACATTTCGTTTGTAGCATTTATAACAATATTACGTATCTTTGAGTACTAATTAGCGCCCACAGCACTCTATTTACATAAACATTCCTGTTAGTACATTTCAATACTTATCGTAACACTGCGCTTGCGCCGACGCGACAGTTAACCTGAAAAAAAAAGATAAATTAATAACCATTAAGAAACGAAACATCTGCAAAATAAATAGCAGATCTCGTAATAATGCGAATATAATGGCGCAAATAGAAATTGAAAAAAGCCCGGACGTGAAAAAGCTTTTAGAATTAGCATAGTTATTCTTATGGCCGGTATTATTTCCTATTCGTTATTACAAAGAGCTATGGGCTAACATGGTTTCACTTTTAATACGCTGCTTCAGATAGGTTGCAGATGGCTTCCCTCTTAATTCGCGACGCGGTTAATGCTATATATGATAATTTTGCAAAACAGTTTTATTTTTATTAGATTCACCAACATTCTTACAACTAAATACTTACCCTAAGATACATATTTAAGGGGACACAATAGGTTGTGAAGAACAATTATAGGCGAATACAGCAAGTAATAAATATCATAAGAGAGAAGAGCACACATTGTAAACTTATGCATGAAAATATGAAAAAAAAGAAAAATAATATACAAAACAAAGTATTTTTTTAATGAAGTGATTGATTGTGAGTGACATTGAGATAAAATTTATTAATTAGTAATCGACGGAGTTCGTTGGGTGAGTCATGGGAAATGTCGACTAGGGCACTGAATCTGTTTAGAGTATGACTGAGTCTAGCAGCAACTGGGGAGCTTGAGCCACCTGCAGTTCTTCGAAAAGGCACAGATAATGGTAGGATTGGTTTACGGGGGAATCTATAGGGTATATGAAAGTCAAGCTTCTGGAGTAGTTGTGGACATTCTATTTTATTATTTATGAGTTTACTTACGAGTAGCAAATCTGATATTAAATATCTAAGTATGCTCTAGAGAAATAATATTAAAGAGGCATAATTGACCAGTGTAAAATAGTATTTTTTTCGCGATAAGCCACTAGAATATAGTAAGTAAAGGAGAAATCTTTTCTGTATCCTTTCTAATCGTAGGGTGTGAGTAGCATAGTGAGGCCTCCAGACGACCGAGAAATATTCCAACAAACTGCGCACTAACCCATTATATAGGGTTATTTTTGTCCTGGTGTTCCGAAAAGGTTTTATATTTCTAATTAAAAAGCCTAACATTTTTGATGAGCGTGAAATTAAATTATTTAAATGTGGGATAAATGTTAACTTTTCGTCAAATACAACTTCTAGATCTTTGATCTCTGATCTCTGAAGAATCGAATGCTTAATTTTTTTAACCATAGAAACTTTAACAGCATTGGATGGAAAGGTATGTATAATATTTTATTGGAGCGCCTAAATTACGACACTGTG